CTTGCATCTGATCTTAGCATGCTGATCTTATTTTCCAACTTGATCTTCCATTTTGGTGGTGTACTGTTTGGCTTTTTTTTCTTGTTTGTGGATTTTGCATCCATGGTATTCAGTTATAACTGCAGCTATGCTGTACATTAGTTAGTTTGTTTCTAGCAGTGAGCTGGGGTTTATATCTGATATTACAGAATTGGCATCTTTTAATACTTGTGCCAGCTGTTGTTGTTGTTGTTGTTGTTGTTGTTATTCCTACCATATAAAAGAGGCTTCTCCAACTTTGTGTCCTGCAGATGCATTTGATTTGATTCAAAGAAGATCAAAGAAAGATGGAAGGAATATATTGAAATACTATACAGTAGCAATGTCAACATTCAAAATACCTTAGGAGATATTTCCCACTTACAAAAACCTCTAGTACTAGAAGATGAAGTTAGATCAGCACTCTGGTTATTACTAAGTCAGAAGGAACAGAAGAAGAATCAGTAAAGATTCTATCGTACAATATCCTTAATTTCACATGCTAGCAAAATAATTCTTAAGATCATCCAGTGCAGATTAGAGCCCTGCATGGAAAAAAGTATGCCAGATGTTCAAGTTAGCTTTATAAAAAGCTGAGGAACACAAGACATTAGGATGCATGCTGGACAACTGAAAAGCCAAAGAATATCCAAGAGAAATCTATGTGCATCATTGATTATAGAAAGGCCCTCGATTTTGTTGATCATGTCAAGCTGTGGAATGTGTTTAGAAAAATGGAAATCCTAGAAGATCTCATTGTTCTCATGAGAAACCTATATAGGTCAGGAAGGCACAATACAGATAAAATGTGGTGAAACAGACTGGCTCCAGCTTGGCAAAGGAGTGAGACAAGCCAGTATACTCTTCCCTTATTTATTCAACCTATATGCTGAATATATATTAAGGAAAGCTAGACTGGAAGAAGATGAGTGTGGTTTTAAAATTGGAGGAAGAAACATCAATAACCTGCGCTATGCTGATGACACTACTCTAACAGCCAAAAATACAAAAGATCTGCAAGGTCTTGTGCTTGTACTAATAAAAATCAGCTCCCACTACTTTAGTATAACGCTAGGCAACACATTTTCCAAATAGCTTCCCATGATATCCTTTATTCACCATTTAAAGGTAAGTGAGGAAGAAACATAATATGCACGTACACAACTATTTATGATCTGGAGCAAGCCTTTCCTCTCTTAATATATTAATATTAATATTAAAACCCAGGTTAAATGAACAGTATGCTGAACACTAGGAAATTCAGTATTTTGTCACACAGTGCAGGCTCCCCTCAACTGACAAGGCAAAAACTTCAAAAATATATTTCCAAGGATCCAAAAATTCAGATAAGTAGGCTTACTGTACAAAAGCTATGAAGTTGTTATAAAAACAATACTGTGCATAAACTGCTGTGTTTATAGTGTAATCAAGGTTCAAAATTCTTGCACCTCTTTCTCCCCTCCCCACCCCCGTGAGAAATTGCAGGGAGGCTAGGGAAGGAATGAAAAAGAGAGTAGGCATAAATAATCAAGAGACCATGGGTGAGTTAGTTGAGAATTTATCTCATAATTGGCAGTTTAGTCCAGTTGGAGAGAAATCTGGGAAAAAGTGTTTTAAAGCATCTGTATCGCCAAGATGGCAAAATGACTGCTGGATCAGATGGGCTGCTGGTCTAATACAGTAAGCTCTAAACTGAGTTCTGATTGTTAATCGGCCTACTATACACATCAATTTGGGGCCTTTTCTCTACTACAAACAGGGTAAAACCTTCAACACTTCCAAACGTTTTG